ATTATATATTATTTAAAATATAATATATTACATATATTTCTAGTATTTAAATAATATAATTATATATTTATTGATAATAAATATATTAAATTAAAAAAATGAAAATCAAAGAACTGAACTAAACAAAAACCAAATCGGTCAATCAGTTAATTGGTTTCAGTTTAGTATGGGTTTTGGGTTTTCCAAAAACCAAAAGACTAGTTCAGTTTGGAAAAAAGGTTCATTATTCAATTAACCCCTACTATTGGATCCCCTCAATATCAATAATTTCCATCATCTTGTTCTATAAGTTCTTGACTTGTTAACATCAACTTTGTACTCTTTAAGGGTCTTGTTACATAGTGTAAGGGCTTTCCAAGTTGGTCCACCTATGAACTTTATTCTTGAACTTCTTTTCTAGCTATGTAGAAGATAACTTATCAATCTTTAAATTCCTTGCACATTCACACTTGTCCTTGAATGATTTAATATGAAATGCTTTCCAATCTTGCATCCAAAAAAGGCATGCATGCTTCTTTTTGTAAATTGGTATGAGCTTCTCCTTATTCTTCAAATAATCAAATTAAATACCATTGACAATAGCAAATGTAATTAATGTTTCCTTGAACACTGAGTGATTGGGGAGTGTCAGACCCTTTCTCAACCTAATTACATCCATTTGTAAGAATCAAACTATGCTTCTTGCTCATTATCCAATCCATGTATGTTGTGCAAATCCTTTGTCTGTTCATAGTTCCCCAACAAATCTGGTCCAATGACATTTAAGTCATTTAGTGGACCACCTATCCCATAATGTGCTTCATAGTCATCATGATGTGCTTCATTGTGTTGAACTGATATGGATGTTTGCCCTCCACATCTGCCAGGGCCTCCTGTCTTACATTTACTATGTGCAACAACTATATCATCTTTTAATGATGTGAATTATTCATCATAATCATCATCACCACTTATTATGTAGTCCACATCATCATTATCATCATGACTCTTAACTTCTTCATCCATATAGTCATTAACTTGATCATCAACATCTACCATCAACTGTGATGAAGCCTCTTGGGTGCTAGGGCTTGCAATCTCCCCAACACATCTTGATCATTCTACAATAATATTAAGTCATCCTCAAAATCAAGTTTTGCTTTTTATAAAACACACTCCATTGATTTTCATACCCCAACTCTTTTGTCATTGTTTTTATTTCAATGTATGATAAAAGGTCCCCATCAACATCATTACTTACAAAATTAACATTACTAGCATAGTAAATTAGTGGCGGTAAATCAATGATGAAACCCTTGCGGTTGATAAAAACATTAAACATCTACAACAATAAATATCCATTCAATAACAGGAATAACTAAAAATGGTGCAAGGCACACAATTATATGCAAAAGTAACCAAACAACATTCTCACACGTCTTCTCTATTTATTTCTTTCATAACATTAGTTTCTTGACCCTTTATTTGGGAGCAAAGTATATTGGTATCCTGACTCCTTATTAGGGGGTAGACATGCTCATGGGCTATGTCCGGTTGGGTTTAAACTAGTCTTTGTCTCTATAATAGCAAAATACATTCAAGCTCGAGCCTGACCCTCATATAAAGCTTAAAGCCTAGACCCAAGCCCAAAGCCCCAACAAAATTCTAGCTAAATAGTATGTCATATGTTTCAATTAATATAAATTTGAACATTGTGCATTCTCATGCATGTTATATCATATTTACAAAAAGTGTTTTGAACCAACAAAATTCTTGGCTATGGTATTCTTTTAAACCAACAAAATTCTAGGTAATTAATTCAAGTGAATGTATTTTTGTGTGTTAGACTACAAAGTAGTCTTCCTATGGGAAGCAAATATATAAAAATATAGGAGGGTCCTCCCTTTAGTCTTCCATATAAATTAACAAACTGTGTGAGGATTTCACTTTACAGAGACAATGCAATACTTTTTGCTCCTCACCATTATGACAAGTAAAGACATATCTACCTTTCACATGGTGGGGGACATTATAGGGGACCACTATGGACAATGACAATACATTTTTGGCCAACCAACCCAATAATGTCAAGACATGACAATCGATAATAGGTAAAAAAGTTCCACCATTAAACCAGAATGCTAATAAAAAATCCTAATTAATTACAACAATAAACCTTAATTGAATGGAAATAAGCATGAAAAATAAACACTAATCGAATGAAAACACAAATTCATCAAAATCAACAAATCTTAACATAAAAGCACCATCATCAAAATCAACAATAAAACCCTAGAACACTCAATTTAATGACATCATATCTATATAACAAATAGAGAGGAACAACAACGAAAAGGAGAATAAAAAAGGAGTGTATTGACAAAAAGGAAAGGGAAACAATAGAGAAAAATACATGTTTTTACCTTAATTTTCTTCCCCAACGATGACAACAAGTACTCTTCTTCTTCAGCAATTTTTTTCTTCATAAAAAAGGGGAGCATAGGCAATTTTTGGAATCCATGACAATAGTAGGGAATCAAGAGTAAAGATCATGGGTAGTTATGGGGTTATAATGAAGTGATGACGGCAATGAATATTGAGAGCAGTGAAGAAAAAAATCCCAACTTGTTTTGATAAAATTAAGCAAGAAAGAGGGTTAATAGACCTTGGTTTTGCAAGGCCAAAGCATATATGGTCCAATAATCTAATAGGTTTGGCTAAAGTGTGGGTTAATGCATGATGGTGGTCCTTATTTGGGGATATATATGTTATATGAGTCGCATTTTATAATTAATCAAAAGAAATTTTAAAATTAATTTATACAAATAAAACATTATAAAATCAAGGTTTTAAAAACCAACCAAGAGGCTGAATCATTTTTTCCTTTGCTTTGTAGGTCACCAGATCGACCATCCAAGTCGAACGGGTCAGACCGTGCCACATCATCATTATATATGCGTGTGTAAAAGTTAATTCAGTTTTTAATTTTTTATTTGTAAAATATTAAAATTACAATTTGAGGCCAAAAAGGGTTTTTTTCAAAAAAATAGTGGGGCAGGGCACCTTGGGACACGTATATCTTGAAAAGTTACCCAAATAAAAAAAAAATCACCTCAATTGGACATTGGAGCACAAAGTTACAGTCCGTTTGATTGCTAAGAAGGGATGAGATGAGAAGGGAAAATTTATTTTCTCATTTTGGCATTCTGGTGTTTGATTGTTGAGAAGGGAAAATTACTGTTCATCATCTTCCTTCAAACTCAAACCAGAGGATACAAGGGCAAAGCAAGATCTGGAGTTGTTCTCATTGCCTCCAATCTTCACCCCAACGAGAAAACGTATAAAAATAAAAATAAAAATAAAAGTAAAAAGAATAATTGGGACCTGGTTTAACAAATCTGAGGGAAGAGAAACATATCTCATGGGAAAAACTGATCCGAGGAAAGATAACTCTAACCTTGAAGCAGGTTTGAACCCAGAAAAAGGCATAAACACCTTGGCGTGTTTTAACGGGAAACAATGGCTTTTAGCTAAAAACGACCATGTTCGTTCAAGGTTCTACAAACAAGTGTAGATCTGTAAAACATCTACCTCTATACCACCAGAAACAATCGATTTTAGCTGACGAACGACCATGTTTTCCCGACGGCATGAGGAGATTGATGATGCCAAAAACGTGAAGAATATAGTCGCCTTTATTCTATGGTCATGGATCTGGTCTTATCACGGCTACGGAGCTTCAGTCAAAAGTCTCAACATTTTTTTCTCACAATTTTCTCTTATCACTGGGGTCACACCATTTTTACGCGACCCTGCAGCCTTGGTTTTGAGAACCAACATCCCACGGTTTCCCATCCCATCTCAGCGAACAAACACGTGAAAATGGGAATCTAATGGGAATATTTCCATTTTCCCATTCCAATCGCAGCAACCAAATGTACCATTATGGTCCATGTATGTTATGTGCAACCTATAGCCCGATCAGTAGGTTGAATGATTTTTTACTAGGTCAACAAAATTTGACTAATTCCCAAGTTTTAGTAGAATTAGACCTAGAATCATGGCCGGGTGAATGTTCAAACTAGGGTTATAAACGAATAGGTGAATTCAACAAAATTCAAGTATGATCTAATTGTTGAAAACTTGCATCCAAATCCTATATGAAATCTGATCAGATTTAAAAAGTTAATTACTTTTCAACTTGTATATATAATAAATTAATGTACATATAACATAATGAATTTATTATTTTATATCATATAATATAATATATTTTACATAAAATTATATAATTTTTATATATTAAAATCAATAAATATTATAATATAATCAAATTTGGATTTTAATCAGGTTGGATAAAGCATGAATCCAATCTAATTATTAATCGGATGCAAATTGCAAAAACCGAATCCGATCTGATTACATAAATACAACACCCGAATTTGAAATAATCAGATAAGATGTCGATTGGGCCATGGAGTTCCGAATACCATTGATGGGCCTAATTGAAATGGTTCAACTACTTGGGTCAATGATAGGTTGAAAACATTGTATAAAATAATTAAACATAATAAAAATAATTATTAAAAAATTATTAAAGGTAATAAAAATAACTTAAGTAAATATAATAAAAATCAATTGAACATAATAAAGGATAATTTAATAATTAATTAAGCATAATAAAAATAATAATTAATTACTAAAAATCAAAGAGTATAACGAAAAGAGTCGTAGAGATCTTAGAAAAATGGAGATAGAGAGAGGATGACAACAACTGACGAATGGCTGATTGGTGGAAGCTTGGAATAGTGGGTTGAGAAGCATGGAATATATAACATTACAGGAAAAATGAAAATTAGCGGCAGTTTAGAAGGTGGCTAAAGGCTGGCTGCCGCTACAAATAATATTCTCTAGCGGCAGTTGTTTAAAACTGCCACTCTAGAATACATCAACTACCACTAAAAGTTGTAGCGCGAAAAACGGCTCTCTTTCTCCTCCTCTTTTCCCCTTTTTTCTCATTCTCCTCCTGCTTTCTTTCAGTCTTTCTCTCTCTCGCGCGATCTCTCTCTCACAGTCGACGTCGACCTCTCACCACCGGACGAGGACACTGACATGAATTTATCTCTCTCTCCCCCTTTTCTCATTCTCTACTCGCTCTCTTTTAGTCTCTCTCACGCGATCTCTCTTTCTCACGGTCAACGTCGACTTCTCACCACCAGACGACATCCAAGGACACCGGCATCAATAGGTAATTTCTCTCTCTCTCTCTCTCTCTCTCTCTCTCTCCTTTCCTCATTCTCTGCTCGCTCTCTTTCAGTCTCCACTCTAGAATACATTTCCTTGTTTCTCGGTTTGCATTTGGTGGCTTTGCATCTTCCAATTAGAATAGCATCAGAAGGATCACTTACACTGGAACATGAGTGTGGTATGACATCACAATAGGCACACATAGTAGCTTTGCTATAATGAGAGCACCAAATACCTAGAATAGAGTTGGATATTATGTCAGGCATGCATGAAAGGGGACTGAGCGTTTGCTTTTTTTTGGCACTTCAATAATTGAATAGATAAATTATTACATGAGAGAAAATTACCATAATTCTAGGTGAAGAAGCATGTATAATGTCAGGCTTGAACCTGGCAACCTCTAAGATTATTCTAGGGCTGAGTGCCAGTGAAGGAGGCACTTTTTGATACCAGGGGCAGGGAAAACTGCCAAAAGAAAAACAAGCATTAGGAAGAAAAGAAGAACTAAACCATACAGATGAAATATAATAAGGCTACTAAATTAAAAATAGCATGGATGACAAACACAGCAGCAGGATCAAGTAAGACATATTCTTAAGTCACAATTTTACAAGGATTCAAGAATGAAAAATAAAAAGAACAAGGAGAAGTTGAAAAATCAAAGTTGGATTTCTCAGCAAAAACAAAAAAAAAAAATCAAAGTTGACTCGAAAGATGGTCCAGCATTATTAAAATATTAGTACTATTTTCTCAAGCTAGAAAAAGAAGCCCCAAAACAAAGTAAGAAAGCAGGCCTAATTGAAATAAACTTTAATTCCTCACATATTCTTCTTTTTTGTCAATATTTGAATTTGTTGAGTTAATTCTCTAGCTTTGAAGGCTGGTCCATTACTTGTCCATTGCGGTTTCTTGGTCGTTACATGTGTGCCCAACCCAAACACCTCCGTGGAACTCCAGTTTGCTTGGATTTTATTGTCGAAACCCTCCTACTTGAATGAGTAGTTTTTGAAATGAAAAAGGCTTGGATTTTTGAAATATGAGTAGAGTGCCACCTACCAGCTTTAGAGGGGTGTGGTATGGGGAGCACTTCTTGTTGAGTAGTTGGGACCTGTGAAGTGATCCTACAGAACTAGAGGAGATCAAGAAGTGGTTGAGCTTTTCCATAATTGGGTCTTCACCATTTTATCTTATTGACAAAAAGCTGCAAAATTTTCATGCCTGAGTTATTCATGTACCTCCTTTATTCTTGTGGGTGAAATTGCTTCCAATGCACCATGGAAGTGTCACTGTCCACCTTCTCCTTACATTGTCCATCTCCTCCCACAAGAGGGCATGATTATTCTCATCATTAGTGCCATAGACAGAGGAAACCATATTCAAGTTCCACTTTAATCAAAACAGAATACTCTCCAGTCCTGTAGATGACCTTAGTTACTTTGCTACTGTCCCAAACAACCAGTCCCACTGGCATGCCTGAGAGTGGGTTTATGGGACCAATCAAAAGGTTTTTCACTCCAAACACTGGATGACCTTAGTTACTTTGCTACATCTTTGTCTCCCGTATCATTAAAATGTTTGTCTTCCATTTCTCATGCACGGTAACTGTTCACAATTTAATGTTTCTCTGAGCATAGCTTGATAACATTTATATTGGATCTCATGAGAAAAATTCTGATTAATATCCACCCTTCTTCCCCTGTGGTTGGTATTCGTGCTTCTAGCCTTGTTGTGTAGCCCCAAGTCGAACAGTGAATTTTTGTTCTTTCTGTCTTTGCCCTTGCTATGGTGCACATTCCATTTCATTGCCTTCCAAAGTTCTGTACTGAATAACCATTAGGAATTCTATTCTCAATATTGCCTTATAGACAACTCTACAAACAGTGAATTGTTTCTACCCTTTTCTGATGTGTCTAATTGAAGGAAAGTTAGTGAATCAACACCTTTTTTTTCCTGCTTTCTGGAGCAGCTAGATGCTGCAATTTTTATCATATTTGAGGTAGATTGGGGTGTGCCAACAAGCTTGATGTGGCTTTTAAAAATTTTTGTGGCATGGGGCCTGAGCAAACAAAGAAAAATTCCATGGAGAACGGATTGTCACTATGCCAAAGTAACTTGGAGACAGAAGTGTGAGGGATTTCAACAATGAATCTAGCTCTTGCTGGATTCAGGATGAAATAATTTTACATTTTTCTCTGTGCTGGGATCACTGTGGAGTTCTGGAGTGGAAACTAAAGTAAATTTGTTGCAAACTGAATTCTGTGAGGTTAAATGGCACCTTCCATTATAAATTTCAAAATCCATAAAGACTCAAAATTTATGCTTATTTTTTTAGGCTTCTAATTTGCTCCATTATGGAAATTGGAATTAGTTCCATATGTTGGAGTTCAGAACATGCAAAAGTGATGTAATTTGGAAACCTATGGACTTGGTTTGCTCAATTCCTTGTCCATTTTTTTGATAAAAAAATTCATTGTCCATTTTGATTTACACCTTAATCCAAACATAACCTAAAGGAATACTAGTGGGTTTTAATTTTTAAGTTATCCATAATACATTGCTTGGGTATCCAGGTCATTAAGTCTCCTTAGGCATATTGCTGCATGCCATCTTCTAGAAAATCAAAGTAAACTCGTGGTTAATTTGTAAAGTCTTCTATGTGATGTTTACTTTTAGATTTGCCAGCCCTTTGCTCATTGTCATTGTTTCTTGCTTTCCACCCTTTGGATGACAGGGATCTTGTTCTCTTTTATGCTTGAATAAAATTTATTCTCTGTTGCTACAAGAAATTTTCCCTTTTCTTATGGCATTGTCCAAGAGTTTCAAAAGCCAAAAATCTTTTCATTGAAATCATCTTGGTGCATCATCAGTGTGTGTAACAAGAAGTGCTATTTCAAGTGATATGTGTTTGCATGTTGTCCATGTGTTAGCATGCTAGACCCACTAGTTTTGAGGTGGGTTTATAACACTGTTGATCTCTCCTTTTTTTGCTGGTTGAGTTTTTATTAAATTTTGCTGAATGAAGTTCTTGTATATGGCCTTCTCATCCTTGGAACCATTCATGTAGTCCAAAGGACCTTGTAAAGTTTGATTCTGTCGAGCTCCTTATTAGTGGTCATTTGCCAAATCCTTTCTTTTCTATCTTTTAATTTTTAGCAGTAGAATAAATGATCAAAAACAAATTTTTAGTTGTAGAATATTATATAATTTTACTGTGTTATAAGTGTGGTGTTGGAACTTGGAAATTCGGAAGTTGTGATTAAGGGATGATGGGGATGGCCCATGGTTACTGCGACATCACATTTCTAGTGGTTAGGTCTTTAGCAGCTACAGTGGACATATCATTTGGCTCGTCTCAAATTGGCTAATTCATTATAGCCTGGCTCAAGCTGGAGCTGGTAGTGTGAGTTACATTGACATTGAGTAACTGCCATGTTTTTTCTGTCATCGTATCTTATGGTTTTACTTCTTGTTCTGAGAGTGTTTTCAATATGTCATTAACCTTGACTGTTGGAATGACCCAGCCACAATCCTGGTTTGAATCAACCTCTAGACCACCATATTACAGAAGCTGTTGGTTGAGTCAATGACCCACGGACCTGGACAGTGAACAGTTCACCAAGTTGACCTGTTCAATGGTCACTAGTTTTATATTATTTTTAATTATTTTGAATTTTTTATTTTTATAATGATGACATCAGGGGTTGACCTAGATGGATGAACTGTTGACCCATTGATCCAGAGGATAAATGGTTCAACCTTCAGGCCAGGTTTTAAAACTCTGGCTCTGAGTGATCTTGATGTGAACATGCAATCTTCTTCCTTCTAAAGTGTTTCTTTTACTTCTCTCATTGATTCATTTGAAGCTTTTCAGTTACCAATCAAAACATCCCATTTGTTACCAAAAAAATCAAAACATTCCATTGGTGGTGTATTAATGCTTACTTTGGATTAATGCACTCATGCCACAGATCCAAAATAAAGGATATTATTTGCAGTTGGGAGCAAAAGATGCCTTGTTGAATGCTCTTCTTCTGGCAGCAAAAAGATTTAGTACAGGACCTCCACAGGTGTTGTGTAACTTGCAACACACTCTAATTTTGATAATATGTAATTAATGAGCTGGAATGAGTACTAGGTTTTGGTTGTACTTCTTGTGATGGTTCAATGAGTTGATAATGCCCAAGTAGTATCTGATTTTGTGTGTGTTATTTCTTTTTTTAACCATTTTTTTCTATGCATAGCAGCTCTTAACACAAATCTGTCTTGCACTCTCGGCTCTTGTCCTTTGTGCGGTAGAACATAAGAAGTCTATTGAGCAAATTTTTTGCAGTCTCCAGAGCCTGCAAAATCAGGACAATGGGAATATTGCTGCTTTAGAGATGCTTACAGTTCTGCCTGAAGAAGTTGTCGAGGACCAAAACAGTGATTTTAACATTAGTTCATCTCGTAGATACCAGTATGGAGAAGAGGTTCAGGAGCTTCATCTAAAAGTGTCATTTTAGATTCAATTTATTTACTGCTTCTTGTGAGATAACATTCTCCCAACTTCCTAAATTGATAATAGCTTTTGCTGTCCTGCCTCCAAGTGAGAAAGTGGTGGTGAATATATTATGCCTAAGCCAATTTTCTTCCTTCTTAGGAGTGTAAAAGGACCAAATATGTACCACAATCCCCTGGGCCTATAGCATCTTCCTCTTCTTGTTCTTCATCACAAGGCACTGCTTCTTCTTGTTCATCTTCCTCAATAAACATAATCGTCCCCTGACTTCCATCATCAAACATGACAAGCTGTCTAGCCCGACAATGTGCTCGTACACATCCAAGTTTTCCACAATTATGACCAAACACAGCAGACATGGTTTTGTTAGGTTTTGGACTAGGATTTTGAGGAATTTGTTTGCTGGACAAAGGTGGGTGGGTTATTGGCTGGCAGCATTCAACTGGTTGTGCTTGGGAGAGAGTTCAATGCAATCCCCCCACTGGCTGAATCATCCAACTCTCCCTCAATTATACCAGGTTCTGATCCCTTATAGAAAGGAAGTAATTCTATAAATGATGTAGCGTCACTAACTTGGAATTTTGCATGAGCAACCATCAGGAACACCTTGATATACACTTGCAACAAGCATTCAACCTCCCAGAGACTGAACAAAGATAGCTAGATCTACCTAGTGCTGGTGATTCACAGGTTGCTTGAAACAGGAAACCCTCTGGATTGAAAAAATACCACTTGACTTTTCCTTCAAACTCATTGGGGTGGGAAAACATCACATAAAGCTTGCAATAGGGCCCTTTGGCCATAATTTGCCTCATTAGTAGAGCTTTTGTTCTACTAGAGTCAAGGTAGACGTCCACCCAAAACACAGTAAGCTTTTGTTCTCACAAGGTTGAAGGGAATGCTGATGCAATAAGTATATGAAATACTTATTTATCAAGTATATAGATTTCACTTGTTTCTGGGATGTTGTTTATTTATTTAGTGCTCCTTTCTTTCCAAATTCTAAGTTCCTGGACTGAAAATGCAACCAGAATAAAATATTTGATTTTAGGAATACTGTGGGAAGACACTGAGGGTGAACTTCTCGGACAAACCAAGGCCTAGAGAACCTTTGTATCCTGAAAGTGAATACAAGCTTTTTGTTGGGAACTTATCATGGTCAGTCACATCTGAAAGTTTGACAAAAGTGTTCCAAGAATATGGAAATGTGGTTGGAGCAAGGGTTCTATATGATGGAGAGGCAGGTAGATCTTGTGGTTATGGCTTTGTATGCTACTCATCAAAGCCAGAGATGGAAGCTGCACTTTAATATTTTAATGGAGTGGTATTCTCTCTCTCTCTCTGACACACAAACACACACATATCTGGACAGAATCTTTGCTTTGGTTCTCTTATTATTTCTTTGTAGTATTTACTTTTATCATGGGCTTGTAGGAGCTGGAAGGGCGAACAATGTGTATTAGCCTAGCACAGGGCAAGCGATCTTGAATGGAAAAGCATGCTATAGATTTAGAAATGATCAATCCCTTTTCATTTCTTGCTTTCTATAATGCATTTCCACAATTACCTTGTAGATTGTAATGTAGAAGCTTTCCTTGTAGAAAATTTATTAGTAATTTTCAGTAATGATCAAAGTGGTTTTACATAGCCAAGTCATGGATTTGCTGATAAAAATCACTAAGCTTCCTAGACGAATAAAAATATACTAGTTTCTTTCTTTTACTTGTGAATTTTTTGGGCCTGAATCCTTTAGGCTATGTTTGGTTTGAAGGAAAAGGTAGGGAAAGGAAGGGAAAAGGTAAGGAAACCTTTACAAACCTTATATAAGTTTCCCTGTCTTTCCCTTCCTTTCCCTACCTTTTCCTTCACCAAACATAGCCTTAATGATTTCAAATTTTCAATTTCATTCCCTTTGTCTGCATCTAATACACAAAAGGAATGCTGTAAATGTGAGGTCAAATTACTAACTGACAGGCAGGTTACTAATGCATGCTCATATGCTACATGTGTGTATTTCCCAAGAATATATGGAGGAAGAAGGGCAGTTCAGCTTGTACATAGATAGGTAAGCTTAATTTTCTCTGTGGTTCTTGCAGGAGCTTTTGATGGTGTCGTTGAGCTTCTTGTTCGTGCTGGGAGAAGTCTCCCTGAAGCTGCCATGATGATGATACCTGAAGCATGGCAAAACGACCAGAATATGGATCCAGATAGAAAGGCCTTGTATGAATACTTCTCAGCTCTTATGGAGCCATGGGATGGACCTGCCCTTATTTCATGTAAGAGATGTTATGAGATTTGATACTACACAAATTTCCTTCTCAGCTTGTGCTATAACCTATGTTGAAATTTTGCAGTTACTGATGGCCACTATCTGGGAGCCACATTGGATCGCAATGGACTGTGTCCTGGTCGCTATTATATTACACAGTGGGAGAGTTATCTTGGAAGGCTAAACCCTGGAATGATGCTTTTAGTAGATTTTGAAAAACATATCGTTGTAGATGATGCAGCTCTAAAGAAGCAGTATGCCCTAGCAAGGCCATATGGGGAATGGCTGAGAAGTGTTTGAAGCCTTGGGCCTTTCATCTGAGGTTATCCAGAAGTGTTTCAAAAGGACTCCAAGTAGAGTTGAAGGTGCAACATTTGAAATGCTTGCTCTGGATGCTCTCCAATTACATGAGATGGCATTTCCTACTCGAGCTATGTCTCCTGGAAGTGTAGAGGCTGTTGCGCTGCCTAATCCTGGAGATTACCACTGAAGAAAAGGTGGAGAAATTCATCTTAATGATCCTCTTTCTATAGCAAAGCTGCAGGAGGCTGCTAGATCAAAGTTGCAGTTAAGATCTGAACTTATTCAAACTTAGTTTTTTACACCTGGTTCATCTTTGCAACCATTTGATAAAGGATTCAATCAGGGAACATAAAGCAAGGCAACCACTTAGTTAACTTTGAGAGGAGGCAACCAACCGCAAGTGTTTTGAGTTTTGAGAATGGATGATGAAATTTGTATTAGAGATTAATGTATCAATTTGAAACTAAGATGTATATTAATTTGTGATTCAAATGTATTAATTTTTTGGTAGAAAAATATTTTGAATGGAAAATGGATCTTTTAAATTGCATTTATATTGATTTTTGCATTTCATTCTAATTTAGATGAATGTAGACAAAATAGGTTATTTGAAGCAAAGCATTAATAATTTAAAAAGAAATTATTGGATTATGTGCAAAAAAATTGATCTAGCGGCAGCCGCTAAAATAAAGTGCGCCAAACTTATAGCGGCAGCTGTAGCGGTAGTTTAAACTTTATACTGGCAGCCAAGAAAACTGCCGCTATAACGTCTAGTGACAATTCTTGTAGTGGCAATTAGCCGGCTGCCGGTAAAGCCTCTAACGGCAGTTTTAGAGACCTTTAGCGGCAGTTTTGACTGTTGCTAAAAGTCATTTTTCCTGTAATGAATCAAAAAATAAGAGAGCATTGGTGTTGTTCGTTCCAAAACATGAGAAATTGTTATGGCTAGAATGGCACAATATTTTGTTTTCTAAAACCATCCATTACTCGTTTTAGAATGCGACACATTCATAAAAAAATTTCATTTCTTGTGTTACATTTTAAAACGGCCTGGGGTGAACATCTGCCACAGTACCGAATGTTGCCTTAGAGTTACAAGTGTGGGCTTGTGTTTGTGGTGATTTTAATGTGAGAACTGAAATTGTTTGTGATGATGTCCAAAATGAGGTGGATGAATAGCAGATGAAGTGTCCTGATGACATGGATGAATCGTGCTGGATCCAATGACCTATACAAACAAATGGTTAGAGGCCTCAAGGTGGTTCTCCAGGGAGGAACACTTCAATGGTCCAGTCGGTAAACATGTGAGGTGGTCAGCGAGGCTGTACAAGTGAAAATGAGTTGATTCTAGCCGAATTAGAGGGTGTTAGTTATGAATCACTAGACAAGAGGTTTGGGGGTGTTGGTGCTGACTTTCGCAAATGAGGGCCATAGATCCAATGAGGGCAAGATGTGCGGTGTTCGCCAATGTTGGGCCATAGGTCGAATGAGGGCATGCCACATCAACATGGTCAAGGATACATATCGGTCGTCAAATCGGACAGATGTACTCTTCAGATTGGTCCAATATTAAGGCAAGGATACATAGTGGGCTCATACCCTTTGTAGGTTCTATCAGATGATAACTGTTGGTCTTTTTCCAGAAAAAAAAAAAAAAAAAAACTTCTAGGGTAGGGGATTAAAACATTCTAACCTCCATGGACTTCAATTGTCATTAGTAGCAAGAGCTGTAGAAAGTCCAATGAGGTTCAAAAGAGAAAGAAATAAATAGATATTTGTTAGAGATAGTGAGATATTAATTAAAGATGGAAGTGGAGTGTTATAATCCTCTTTGATCAAAATATTTCCCGATGACCATTTCTAATAGAATTTCTATTGATTTCTTCAAGGAGAAGACCCAATCAGCACATATAGGCCTAAGAATATGTTCTTTATTTGCATGCCTTTGACTCTCCTATAAAGATCAATTAGACTAAGTGAGTTGTTTGCCAAGTGGAATTTAAGGCCTTGCTTGGCATCAATTCCAGAAAATTTTTAAAATTCATTCTTTTTGAAAAAGAAAGAATTACGAGAATTTTCCAAATTCTAAAAAGGGTAAATCTATGATGCGAGAAAGATATGATATGGAAAGAGTTTTGACCAATCAAAACCCACCCTTGAATTTTGATAAATAACACGTTATTTGCTACCACTTATGATTCCACTTTATTGGTCAGTTGTTTTTTAGATATCATATCTTTTCCATATCATAGTCGCACTGAGTGAGGCATTTGGGATTGGGAATACCCACTTTTTCTTTTTCCTTTCCTCCTCTTCTTCTACTTCTTCTTCTTCTTCTTCTTCTTCTTCTTCTTCTTCTTCTTCTTCCCTATTTTTTTCTGCAACTCAATGAGGAATACACAAAAATAGCAAGACCAATCTAAAAGAAACCAAATATCACATAATTTACAATGGTTGTATGCTTTGCTATCCATTAATAGATCTAAGAATACAAATCAAGCTTCATAATGCTATCCAAAGAAACGGGGTCGAATCTAATGATGCACTAATAGAAAAGAAGATTCCATTTGGAAGGAGTACAAATACAAATGTGTAGAATGCAAAACCTTATATTTTGTATTATTTTATATGTATTTGTACTCTTTCCAAACTGAACCAAAAGAAAAATCAAAATAACAGTTGACCACTCTTCGGTAATAACCATAGGAGTGGTTATTTCTAGTCAAGATGATTGAGCATGACAGAATTTGGTGTTAAAAGAAGAACAGGAGAGCAAAGAGAGCCATTGAGGGTAAAAGAAAGACTATAGAAATGATAGATTAGGTCTTGTGTTCGATTAAAATATCTATTTGGGTGTAAAATTACATAAGTGCCCACATCTGCTTGTGTAACATGGCTACATGTGTTTACTAATTATGAAGTAACTTAGCAAAAATGGTGCAGTATGGAAATGAAACACGTTGAAAAAAGTTTTAAAGAAAAGAGTAGAAATCGAACTACTAGGAAGAAGAATTCTTCACTAAATAATTAAGATAAAATTCAATATAAAAAACTGCCTTAGCTTTCCCCTAGCTACTCTTTATATAAGCATACACCCTTATGGCTCGTACAAGAAAGTTTCCTAATCTATGAAAATACTCCATAATAAAATCCTACTAAAACTCTTTAAAAAAAAGTCATAAATGAACAAAAATTCAGAAAACATAATATAATACTAATTTGGTAATTCTGGACTAGAATAGAAGTCTTGCGTTGGCATTATCTTAGTAAATTCGAATTAAGATGGAAATTCCATTTTGGCGCTATCTTGGTAAATTCAAACTAAAATGGAAATTCCGTGCTGACGCTATCTTGGTAAATTCGAACTAAGATGGAAATTTCGTATTGGCGCAATCTTGGTAAATTCGAATTAAAATAGAAGTTTTGTGTTGGTGCTAACTTGATAATTGATTACTTGATTGGTTTAGTGATGACATCCAAGATTTTTATGTATTTTGGAGTGGCCCCAACTTGCATAGAATTTATTGGTTTCTTTCTGTGTTGCATCATCCTCTCTCTATATATACTAAGTTGGGTCTTTGAAAACCAACTTTGTAAATATTTACTTAATTGGTCTGAATCTCGTACTGCACCAAAGAATCAATTTTAAATGAGAGTTGATTCTCATATAAGTGAAAAATGTTCACTTCTAAGAATTTTGCCTTAAGATAAAAAATTTTCTTCAGGAATCAGATTAGAATTTAGAATTGAGTGGTCCCAAATGGCATTTTCATATGGAAACTCACCATAATAGAGATATCAAACAAAGCCTAAGTTTGATATAGATTCTTGATTTGATGAAGAGATATTAGGAGGTTTTAGAACTTTGGGGATTTAGGCAGGCTTAGGCGGTTTAAATGGAGACAGAGCACGGAGGCCAACTGATCAATTTATAGCTCTTTTACCTATCTTAAACAAAAGATGGAAGGGTTATTATTTCATATGATTTGACCATGGTCAAATTGATATTGCCATCAAAAGAGATAGTGCATAGCGTCTTAGTAATGTGCAAAACACTCCAATGTACGTCTTTCCCTTTCTATCCTTTTTTTTTTGTGGTTTCTGTGGTGGAGTTGTAATAAGGTGTTCGAGTAAAATAACTACTTTGACCCACTTCACTTTGTATAAACACTTGGAGCACCGACCTATGTTAGTGATTACCAATAGCCTAAATGATAGAAACTCAGGTGTGGAGGGAAGACGACATTCACACCTTCCTTTTACTTGGAGTCAGCCCCCGCCCAATGCTCTAAAGATCAATTGGATGGTGCTACTGCTAGTGTGTAATTTCATAGTTTTTTGTTTGTATTGTATTGGTATGAGGTATGTATCAGCCGATACAACCCAAACTTTAATCTTCCTCCCTTTGTACTTTTTGAATTCAATTTTAAATTTCTCACCTTTCTCTCATTTATAGATGTCATTAAATCTTAATATCACTTAATTAAATGCTAATTTAAGACACTTCTAATTAAGTCATTTGAGATGCCATTAAATGCTAATTTAATTACTTTTAATTAAGGAAATATAATTAATACACCACCAAATAGCTTGTTAAAAATCATAAGTTGAAAGTAGAAGGTTTTGGACCTTAATCATTCATTTACAACACTCCATTAGTCCACCACTATGCCATACCTTAATTACTTGTCTTAATAATATGTATTTTTATTTTTAAGTAATCTTTCTTCCCATTGGTTGTCAAAATGATAACATTTGACTATTAAAATTTATATACTAATAAATATTAATGCAAATTATATTTATTACTAAAAACTAAGGTATATATATTATAAATATTATCTAAATCTACATATAATAAATATTAGTATATATATATACACAAACATTTTAGTTCTTCCATTTTCTTCAACAATTATCAATTGAGTTTTGATACTTCATATGAACTATTAAAATATGGTTTTTATGTTTAAATAAATTAGTTATAATCATATAAAACTCATTTTTGTTGTTGTTAATATATTTTTTAAGGATTTTCTTTTGGATTTTTAGTGTATCCATGTGCATCTTGAGTCTTTGTCCATATCCATGCGTACCCAATGTGTATCCCAATATGTCTCTTAAAATTACCTTTCTGGTACATGCCACTTTTTTTATACATTGAACCTTGATTTTAGTATCTTTTGTTTGGCATCGATGCTACAAATACCGAAAACGGTGTTGCTGATGAGTGGGTTGGAAGCACCGTTTTCTAAGAAAATGGTGTCTTTTTTTTGTTTGGAAATATTGCTGTAGGTAGGACGTTTCCTGGAGTAACAACAACGTTTTCTGTTTGGTACCAATGCTCCAGGAAATGTTTTCAACACTGGTACCTATTATCCAATGCCACATCATGTCCCTGTCACTGCCACCTCATGTCCTTGTTGGCAGCAACGAGTTGCTGCTCCAAGAAACGCCAAATTTGGCATTGCTCCAAACCACGCCTTCTTGATTTTCAATGCATGGCATGGAGCACCGTTTTTATGGAAAAACAGTTCCAAAAAAACAGGCGTTTCCTAGAGGACCATTTTTTCTGACAT